ACTTCGTTAGGAAATGGAGCAAAAAAGTGCTGCATCTGTAACCCAGGCTCCAGGATATATTAGGTTGTTATCTTGTTATCTAGTCATTTTTGTTCTCCGATGCATAGAGTTAATTAAGGACTCTGGAGAGAATATCGCAGCTCCAGCCCCTGGGGTCTTTTACTGCAGAAACATTAACACGCTCTTCTCACACACCAGTTCTCTTCCTTGTTAGCCTCTCTTCTGCTCACGTTCAGAAGGGGGAATGCCTCTGAAACTCCTAATTAAAATCAAGGGATCCAAGGAGGTTTCTCCAGCTCAGGTTAGGAAATTGGAAGCTAGGACTCCATTTACTGCCTGCTACTTCTCTTAACTTTCCATTTAAGGAAAGTAAGAGTGAGGTAAGGGGAGAAAGAGGAATGGCAAAAGGAGCAAAAAAAATCTATTTCTGTCAACTCCAGAGATTGTAGGTTTTTCTCCTCCCCCCACTGCAGCTACTCACCATTTAATTAGTGCAGTTAACCACGCTTTTCATTTGTGGCAGCCAGTCCCAAAGGGATCCTGGTGCAGTGAAAACGCCTTACCAGATTCTAGCAACATCTTGATCCCTCACCATCTGTATCAACACGCTCTGATGTTCTTCCTCAAGACTTAGAATAATGGAAAATTCTATAAATTATGCCCTCCTCCTCCTCCAGTCCCTTCTAGCAACTTTTTGCATCATGTTTCAAAGGAGCAGGCAGTGCTGAGGCTCAGGCAGTCTGAGAATGAGATCTGAAGTCCAAAAATACTGCTAACATGAAGATTTTCTTTAATTTTAACTGGGGCTTGAGCAGAGGAGTTAGATAATTAATGAAGTCATATTTTACCCTGTCTCTGAGCTGGACAGAAAATGGATTTTCCATCCCACAAACAATGTTGAGTTAGTTTTTAATCTCAATTTCAGATTTAAAAAAATCAGTGTTTTGAATGTTTTTCAAAGTTGAATGACAACATTCAGTTTGGATTGAACAAAACATTTAATTCTAGTTCATTTGAACCATTTGGTCTTGGTCCTTTTTCTATCGAATACATTTTGAAACCAAAAAGTCATTTCAAGATGAAAAATAGAAACTCCTCATCCTAAAAATATCAAAATTGACTGTATGGGAAATTTTAAAATGTTTTCTCAGGATTTTTGTTCACCCAAAATAGAATTGGGAAAATTGTAATTAAAAAAAAAAATCATTGATCCAAATTTTTCTAATGGAAATTTTCAGTCAGAATTAGATTTCTGAGTAGATTAACACTGATCACAGTACCCGTGATGTGTAATATAAGTGTCTTCTGTCCTAATATACACACACTGCCTTTTCTGTAAAAGTCAAATCAAATCAAAGGAGATGTTACTTTCTTGAAGTAGGAAGGCAAGGAACGCCCCCAGAAATATGATATAAGTTTAAACAACACTTTGATATCGCTGTCAGTGCAGAGGCTTCAGAGAAAGCACCATGACTTCAAGTGATGTTCAGGGGGAGTTCAATGGGATACTTAGCACCTTTGAAAAACAGGCCATTAAAATATAAGCAGTCCATATATCTATGAGACAGGGCTTCCCGGTATTGAACTAGTCAATGTATGTGATTCAGCTGCATGCTTGTGCACTGTGAAATAAATGTCTCTAGAAGCCTGAGCAGAGTCCCGATGCACTGAGTGCTTATGCAGGGACTAAAAGTACAAGGCTAACCTCCTTACGTTCTGGACTGCCGGGTACCAGGTGAACATCTCAGTGTCAAATGACAGGAATTGCCGTAAGAGTGGTGAAGCGTGCTTTTCCTTCTCCCCTTTCTCCATGGATACATTAGGAAAAGAGCAACTGTTCTAAGGGGCTGACTTAACCGTTCCAATAAACAACCCCAGATCTTTATCCATATATATTAGGTTGCAGGGGAGTAGGAGACTGAATTTTTAAAAATTTTTCCCCCCAGCTCAGCTACTGACTGTCTCTAACAGCATGGAAGTCACTTTACCTTTCTGTGTCTAATAGAAAGAGTAGCGCTAACCTACCTCTGAGAGCGGGGGTAAGGCTTGTGGCCAAAATGTTATGGGTGAGCAGGGAGGTTTAGAAAGTGTCCAGCCCCTTAAAAGCTGATTTTTTTCAGTGGCCACTCTCATGAGGATAGAGCTCTCCTGGGAGAAATTCTCTCTCATCTGCTTGTTTTCACTTCCATGCATCTTCTTTCTCTCTCCATCTCTTAACTCTCTCTCACTGAAGTGGGATTCAGTGGGATTCTTTCAGTAAGTTAACCACTGGATTGCATTGCATACACTATTGTTGCTGTAACCTTTGGCGTGCTGAAGGAGCAAAGTCTAAACAAAGTGCTGTTTCACACAATTGAACACACAACATTTTTGTGGCTTTGCCAGCATTTGATATTGTTTGAATTATATGGGGAGGAAATTCTTGGCTTTGATTTCCTTATCCTTCCTGCATGTCAGGCATTGAAGGGAACTCCTTGCCTTTGTTTTTAAAGGCATTCTTTAAGGATGCACTGGTTTATTTTAGCTCTGTGCTGATTAAACTAAGCATTAGGTGGTAGAGTGAGTTATAACACACATCCTTTGTCCTTCTGGACTTGGAATCAGATCTTAACTCCAGTAACAAGTTAAATAAATGTGGTGATCTTGGATCTTTTGAGTGTTTGTAGCATGACAGATGGGGTGGTGTAGGCTTCAGTGCAGATAAGCAAGCCTTATGAATATACTATGCATACTCAGGTTCCCTGGTAGGCTTTTTATAGCCCTTACTGATGTTCATGCTACCATGCCTACTTTGCTATTGTTATCTGTATGAGCTAGATGAAAGTAGCACACGTATGCCTACGAAGGCTGCACTCATTTCTCCCAACTGCAGCAGTCAAACCTCAGATAAAAGGCTATGGTTACATTGTCAAAAACATATCAGTGACCTATTTTGATAAGGGGCTTAACTGCTTAGGAGTCTAAGGCCTTTTATACACATAAATGCTGTAGTGCTTTAACTACTAGTAAAGATAAAGTGGTACAACCCTCCTAGTGTAGATACAGTTGTTCTGGTTTAAATCGATTTGTACCTGTAGAGTTTATAGGAAGAGGAATAAGCTAGTCCGCTTTATGCTGGCATGCCATTCATATGCCTGTTACCTATGTTTACTGGCAGGGATGGGCTAGGGCTGTGGGAATGTCTTCACCTAACTCTGCTTCTGTTAAAGCATGTTGTACCCAAGGAGGCTGTAGAAAGAGGCTGTGATCATGTTTAGGAGAGCACAGGGGCTGCAGTTCTGGTTAGCTCCCATGACTGAACACATGCAGATTCATGGCTCATTTCATCTTTGCAAACCCCACTCACAGCCAGGATACTTTATCCTATGAGCTGTGGCAGTTTCCTACCTAAACCAATCTGTAGCCTATTAAAGGATCCCAAATGTCTTTAGTAAAGTGTTTAGCTTTATTAAAGAAAGAAAAGATTTCCAAGGAGAGGTAGGAATCAAAATAGAAGTGTAACCAGCTTCCAGACAGCTCTTCCCCTGAACGAAATTCCCCATGTGCAGTGGGTCCCAAACACAACTAAAGCAAACCTATGCAAACTCCCTACTCATGATCAGAGCTTGGTAGCTTGCTTGTATTGTACGGATCCTTAGAAATATAGAGGCTTGTCTGATTTGGCTTTATTTTAGGAAGTTTCTGAACTGTGTATGAAAGCTGAGGAGCTGGGAAATCACAAAATTGCCTAGGAAGATGAAATCAGTCTTTACAGTACAATGCTAAGGTTATCAGTCAGCCTGGAGGGCTCTGCTGCTAGTGATCCTTTAATACTCCAGGTACAGACATGTTAAAAATCCAGGGACTCTGTGCCAAAATAATATGCGTAGCATAGTCTCATTGACTTTGTTACACTCGTGATGAATTAGGCCCAGGGACGCTAAACATAGATAAAGTCATGTAGTGATGGGGGAAGTGTTGCCACTGAACCTCATGATCCTTAGCCAAAATTTGGAAAAATCCTCACTGACACTGTACTATTATGTTTTTCCAGTTAAAGGTAGGAATTGGAAATCTGTGCAAGCAGCACTCTACTCCCAGTGGGAAAATGCAGAGGAAGTCTTTTTAATGTTCATGTATATGATCCCCTCTGTGTGACTAGGAATTGATATTGATAAGTACTGACTAGGGGTCCGTAGCTCATTGTCTGGAAAGATAGTGTAGGATGGTGGCAGTTCAAAGGTATTGCAGGGAGCTGAAGGAGAAGAAAGGAGAAATAGTTTAACGTGCTTGGGATAAAAGAGTTCTCCAACTCTGTTAGCTGGGAGCAGTCCTGTGTATCATGGTGGTCTCCATGTTGTAGCCTCAATGTAGAAAACAGCTGTACAGAACAGTTAACACCCTCAGGAATGAGGGAAGAGGAGTGTGTGATCGGAGCTAGTCTTGGATGTTTCTCCTTTCTGTGCCATTTCATTAGGGACAAAAGGAATAGTGGTTTCTTGTGTGAGCAGTGGTGGCAACAATTGGGTGCCTATGCCTGTACACACAAAACAAGGGCCTAATCATTCTGGCAGGTGTATCAACAGTGCTGCTAAAGACAGGTGAAGAGAAAGTTCTTTGACTTATAGTGCTCCAGCCAGGACATGGATCTCACATGGTTGTAGAGGATTAGAATTGGATATGAAGTCCTGGTATGGGATAGTGCTAAGAGAGATCAGACCTGTTCAGAAGGACAAGACATTGGCTTCAAGGATGGCAGTATAAATGCTGGCAAATTGCAATCTGGGAGCACTGGAGTAAGCCCTCCAGCTCAGAAGCATTCCAGAAAAGATGCCGCCATTCCTAAGGGGAAGGTGTTTCTCACAAATCAGCACACAAAAGGTTAACATTTGAAAACATATTTGTAATCTTGGCATTTTAAGAATAAAGAATTTGAATAATAATAGAAGGAGAAGGAAAGTGGGTGGGGGTGGGGGAGAGATGCTGACTGGCACTGATGGCAACTCCACTTTTCTCCTCAGCGCCTTGTGCGGATGAACATGCCGATCTCGGACCAGGACTTAACGGTCCATTTCACATCCACCCTCATGGCCTTGATTCGGACAGCTCTAGAGATCAAACTTGCTTCAGGTAGGAGGGGAGATGAGAGAGGGTTATGATGCCTGAACATGTGTGAGCTCATAAACTAGGGACTTCACTGCTGGTCTTTAGAGAGGACCAGGTAGGTTTCCTATGCCAAAGTACCCTCAACGCGATAAAGGAGGGTATCTGAATCTGAAAGAAACTGGGAGGATCTTTCAGAAGATCCATCCCCTTTCCTACCTCCCGCAAGAGCACATGAACTGATAGATATAGTCTTGAACTAGATGATCCCCAGCTTAGCTCTGACCTGGATGTGTTGACCTTGGACAAGCTGCTTCATCTCTCTGTGCCTCTAATGAGAATATCATTTCTCTACTTGCGTTCATGGCTTTGAGATTAAAACAACCCACCATGTAAGTCCTAAGTGGTGTTATTAAAACAACCTAGTCATGCCTTTCAGGATTTGTCACTTTACACATGCCAGTAAGAAAAAAAAAAACCTCTTCCTGATAATGATCCTCTCTGCTGGTACTGGAAGCCATGACTCTGAGAGGCTAGAGCTGCGTTATGCCCTAAGGAAAAAAAAATAATTATTTCAGTGCTTAATCAGGCAGATACTTGACTACCCAATTAAACAACACAATGCAATAAAATACGTCAGGTTTTACTTCGGATCATTAGACCTTTTAATCAGCCTTCAAAGCCATGGCTGCTGCTAGGACTAGAACCAGAGCAGAAATTGCCATTATACAGTCATGTATAATTTAAAAATGAAGGGAGACAGAAATGTTCATGTGGTTAAGGTGCAGGACTGGCAGCTGGGATGTCAGGAACTGAATCCACTTAACCTCTCTGTGGTAATTACTTTAAAAATGTTCTTTAACCTCTTTAGGTGGGCACTGCTAGAGGGAGGCAAAGGAATATGCTTCAGGGGAGTTGGACTGAATCTGACCTGCTAACTTTGAAGCATACAGTTAAGATGGTCTCATTTCTAAGGGACTAGCATCCTCCATCCCTAATATCCCTGCATGCAAAGGGGACATTTAAGCCCCATCTTACTGAAGATGTCTGTTCTTGTGAGGTTTTTGGCCACATATAAAGAAAAAAAATGCAGTGCTTCCATAGAGGCAAGTTTGCTTCTGGGAATTTTGAGGGTATATGGGTAGAGGTAAAAGGGGTTTGATTTGAGGGACCTTGCTTTAGCTTACCTCTTCCTTACATGGCTGGGTTGGACTTTTTCCATTCTTTCTGATAACTTTAATTGAGAGTAGTTGGTTGGGCTAATGCTCCCATAATGAACTCTCCCCAGTGAAATGCAACATGGCACAACATATCATGGCACTATAACAGATAACAGCCTCCTTACCTCACTTTTTCTCTCAGAAGAATCATCACTGTCATTTATATACTCCTTTTGGTTTCATACTGGGCGTGTCTACACGTGCATTTACTGCACAGTAAGTGGTTTTTATACCAGCATCTACACATGCACGTGTTACGGCTCAGTAATACTCTGTGGACTGACTTGGGATTAAAGTTAGTCCCAAGTCAGTCAGATAGATGCCTATACATGTCTTACTACCCAGTAACTAATCAGGTATTAATTTGCTACCTGCATTATGCAGGTAGCAAATTTATGCTCAAATCAGTGTAAGTTGCCATAGTTACTGTGCAGTAATTTTTGGTTTTTGGTACTGCATAAATTCATAGATTCATAGAAGTAGTTGATTCATAGAAGCAGGGTCGGAAGGGACCTTGTAGATCTTCAAGTCCGACCCCCAATTACTATGCAGTAACTGTGTACAAGTAGACGCTCCTACTGTGTAGTGTATTAATTTGGGAAGCAGACTATTGTCTCATAAATATTTTACTCACTCTGTATAATGAGAACCCACTTCAGTCTTTTAAATGATGCTGCTGTGTTTGGCTGTTTAATATTTAGCTTGGTTTTATAGCTTCCATTTGATTATATTGTTATTTAATGGTGTATAAGGTGTGTGAAGAAGGACATAGTCCCAGTTTAAGGGTAACAGTGACAGTGCATGTTGCTTAAGGACCTCAGAACAAACTGGTCCCTGAAGTTTCATTCGGATCAGACCAAGTCCTATAACCCCTATTCATATCCACTACTGGAGCCCACCCTGAGGTAGTAGGATGTGAAGAAGGCTGGGCAGATGGGACTGGAAAAGAGAGGGTTGCTTGCACACTTGGTAATGGATAGCCATTTTCACTCAGCTTTACTTTCCTTTTTTTCCCTCCTGCCCAGGAGGGGTGAAACAGCACCAGTGCGATGCTGAACTAAGGAAAGAGATCTCACTGGTTTGGCCTAATCTGTCCCAAAAGACACTGGATCTGTTGGTGCCTCCTCATAAACGTAAGTGGCACACACCGGTATGTGTTTCCTTTAGAAGCAACACACAGACCAGATCCCTAAGAATCATTTGAAATACCCGAAGGAATCTAGCGTAAGTTCTTCCCTTCTGATGCGATGAGCCTGTTGTCCTGTCTGTGTACAGCTGTTTCTACAGTACAGGAACCCAAAGAACATTTTAATTTCTACGTAGAGCCTCAGCTTTGACCTCCACAGTGCCCATAGTCCAGAGACCCATTCAACTGTTATCCAAGTAGTAATCGACCCAGAGTCGCACCAAAGTATAAGTCCCACATGGTAATATCATAGTACCTAATACCCAAGGCAACAGAAACCTTCCTTTGCAGAAAAATAAAATGCAGAGCAGCAAGAAGAAAGCAATGCCAGGTCCCACCTCTTTCAAAGAGCTTGCTTTGTTACACAGCTTTATAGCTTTATCTGTTTCCACTTTATCTGGTTTAAGGGACCAGAGTTTCTACCAGCTGGGCTTTGTCTGCCTCCAAAATAATAAAAGGAACAGGTTAAAAGCTCCAAAGAATCCATGTAATATGCCCTAATGATGGCCTGTGCCTGTGGGAACACATTGAGAAAATTGAAAATTAGAATTCTCTAGATTGGCAAAAGGGAGGACTCGGAGTCCCCTGGATTTCTGATTAATGAGAAACAGCTCCTTCTACTCAGGGCATGGTTCACTGAGAAAGGGATGGAAGTGTGGAGATGCACACAAGGGGGTAGTGACTACCTAACCCTGCCTTCCAGCCCATGTTTTCATGTCTGGTACTTTATAACCCTGTTCTGTAAGGCGTGTGCTATGCTGTACCAGAGGGAGAGATCAGCAGTATAATTGTTTTTTGTTTTGTTTTTTTAGAAGTGGGGGAGAGCCATCTGGAAAAATGCAATACAATTTAAATTTATGTTAGCCCATTATCCCCCTGTTGACCATAAGTTAAAGCGAGAAAAATAGGGCCTCTCTGTTGATAAAACTACTGGTTGCAGATCTGGTATTAATTTAAATGTTCTTCTGTCTCCCATTCTTACGGTTTAATTGTCAAGGGCCCTTTTCCTGTAAAAAGTCTATAAATATTTTCCCTGGAGCACTAGGCCATAGGGCACTTAAAGCCATGACCTCCACACAAGCAGGGAGAGAGGAAAGGTAATAACAGTCCAGGATGGGGTGAAGGGGAAAGCACTGTCTGAAGAAATCTGTTCTAACCACTTCTCTTTCTCTCCCTTCCTCTCTTCTTCCCCTTGATTCTGATGGGACATCTTGTGTTCCTTTTCACGTTTTTTTATATCTGTTGCACATTCCTCCATTTAATTAATGTCTTTCCTTTTCTCCCATTTATTCTGACCACTTCTTTCATTCTCAACCTATCCTCCGGCACACCTTCCCTGCTTTATATGAAACTCCCCTGCTGCATTTCCTCTTCTGTTTCCTAATCCAGCTGATGAAATGACCGTGGGGAAAGTCTATGCAGCACTCATGATATTTGATTTCTACAAGCAGAATAAAAACAGCAGGGAGCAAGTGCATCAACCACCTGGAGGCCTTTGCCAGGTACTCAGCTGAAAGATGGTGTTCCTGGGTTCTTTATACTAGCAATCTCAGCAATCAGAGGGTTGGAAGGGATATCAAGGATCACCTAGTCCGGTCCTGAATTAGCAAACCTCTGACAATTCAAAGATTTCATTCTGTCTGACACCTGACAGTCTGGTTGCCTCTCCAAACAATTTGAATTGTCAGTGTCTTGTCAACTAAAAACTATGCTGGAAAAGCTACAACAAAAGACCTTCTTGTGTAGTTTCTGGCACTTCTTCATTCCAGCAGTGCTGAAAATACTTTGGGTAAAACTTCCAGAATCTTCTAATGGTAAGCCTATATGTATGGCACAAATCAGCACCATTCAGAGACACCGTCTCTGGAGCTGAAAGGAATATGGCCACCTTAGGGCAGGCCAGATGTGGCCTAATAACATTTGCCAGTTGTAGAGCTAGCACAGTGCTGTATCTCTGCACAGCGCTGCCTTGTGCCACATGGACATACTCTAAAGGAGTTAGGTTCCTAAGGCTAGGATCAGATGTTTCATTTGTCCCAGGACACGTTGTGCCTGTGTTTGTCTCAGAAAGGAAAAGTCCTTGAATTGATGTATACATGTCTCCCTTCTAATCAGGTTTTAATGAAGGGCTGAATGCACTGCCACTTTTCTTCTATTGATTCAGTCCCAGGAAACCCATTCAGACATATTTTCTGACGTCCCAGGACAAGCTGTTAGCGCTTCCCATCCCGTGAGCCTTTTTAAGGTTTGTCCCGGGATAAAAGACATGGACTTCTGAACAATTGCACTTTGTCCTGGGATAAACTGGTTTCTCATGGGACAAATGTGATGACTGTTTGTAGCTTAAGCCTAAGTGCTATTTCTAAAGTAACTTAGGTGCTTAGAAAACTAAGCCCTGTTGAAAGCCAGTGATAATTGGGCTTCAAAATTACTTTGATACTTCAAAAAAAATTACTCCTTCAAAATCTCTCCACCTCCTACTCTAGTTAACCTGACAGTGCAGAGGAGCACAAGAATTTAAACCATGGATGATAACTGTGCAAACTTTGAAAGATGTTTAGGGCAAAGTTTTGGACTGATTCTTATTGTATTCAAGGCCATCTTGTTTATAACCTTTGTTATTAGCACTGTTATTACTGCAGTTAGCTCCTCAGACCTCACAAACATAGCATGTTGTTACTATGAGTACTGGGCCAAATCCTCCGGTTCCCATTAAGCTTAGTAGAACTTGTGACTAAATAAGAGCTACAAGAATGATCCACATGATATATCCACTTGCATATTTTAGGGACTTGTATGTACAGGGTAAAATCTTAGTTCCATAAAGTTTGTGGCAAAACTCCCAATGAATGTAATGAATCCAGGATTGTACCCACCAAATATAATATGGTCAATAGGTCATTCAGGTAACTGCTAGCCAGGTTGATGAATAAACATCATGGGTAACATAAAGCCCTAAATCAAAAAAAGGCTTGGGATTGAAACCCTAGGAACTTGTAAACTAGCAGGCTCTTTCTGGACTTTAGAATGGCCTTGTGCAGCTGAGTATCCATGCAGCTAACAACCTGTATTTACCAATGGAGACACTTCCCCTGAAGAAGGCAGTTTGAGGGCATTGCAGTACATGACTCAGGGCCACCATCTAAAACCTGAATTAGCCCCTGACCCGAAAACCTCACCATTTTAATATGTATAATCCAAATATTGGATTTGTAGCTAGTCTCATGAGTCCCAAAGGGCCTGGCTCCCTTATTGTACTATGCCAGCCAACCTGAAAGGGGAAGGGAACTATTATGAATTAAATTTAGTGCTGGGGAAAGACATGGGCTTTATATCCCTGGAGACTGATGTCTTCTGTGCATCACAGAGTGAGTACAGCAAGAAGAATGGCTATATATGCTTTCTTTATACTTTTCTTGCACCTAGCCTCTTCTGTGATACATTGGGACAACATGTAAGGACTGAAGGGCGGTCCAGTCATTGTGATCCCAGGAGGCTTTGTCTGCACTGCAATGGAAAGTCTGACTGTAGCATAAGTAGACAGACCTGTGTTTACTTTAATCCAGCTATCATGGGTAACAATAGCATTGAAGATGCAGCAGCATGGGCTTCAGCTATACAAGCCTACCAGGGATGCTTGGGTTTGTGCTCAGGTGGCTATCTTACACTAAAGTCCATATTGCCACATCTCCACTGCTGTTATTACTCACAGAAACCAGATTAAAGCTAGTGAAAGTGTGCTTGCATGTGTTGCAATCCCACCTTTAATGGCTGATGAAGATGGCAGCCTATAACAGAGTGAAGAACTAGGTAGTGCCAATTGCAGTTTCAGGAAGGGTTTTTGAGGACATGGATCACAGCTTGACTAGAAAAGGTGGTGCAGGGTGTTCTCTAAGCAGATATGTCTTTCTCACTGGTGCTTTTTCTTTGTGCACTGCAGACTGGACCAGTGTCACTGTTTCACCCTTTGAAAGCCACGCTTGAGCAAACCCAACCTCCAGCATTCAACAATGCTAAAGCCTTCCTTCGTCAGAAAAGTTCTGCATCACTCAACAACGGGGGCACGCTGTGAGTATCCCGGGCCTTCCCACCATTAGAGTTCTCTGATCTCTCAGCTCCCGTAGGCATGTTGCACTTAGGAATGTCCCTTTGTCCAAAGGTTAAGATGTGTGGTCAGATGACAGAGATTGGCAGCTACTTAAAAAAAAAAAAAAGAAGCCCAATTAATGCTTGTATATTCCAGAGATTAATTAGGCCAAGGAACAGCCTCATATATGGTAACACTTGATGTCACCAGGAGTTTCCATGCATGTTTCTAAGGACTGAATCACTTCTGTAAAAAGCCATTGCAGTCTGTTATGCAAATTGCAACCCAAAGACTGATTACAACAGTCCCCAAATGCCCTTCCTATTTTCTGCTCTTCGTATGTATTATGTTCTTCTAGGTCACTAGTGCTACAGATGTGTAATTATAGATATAAGAGAGATAAATATGATAATAAACTACAATGTGAAAATAAAAAGGTAAGAAATCTCGAACTGTAAAAATGCAAGGCTAAATTTTCCCCTGATACTGCTGCATTTATTTCATTTGACTTATAAAATAGATGAACTTAGCCAATAATATGTACAGTTCTTTGCCTAAGCAGTCATGGTCATATAATTTTGCTCAGTCTGACATGCACAGACTAGCTTTTAAATCAAACTTTTCATCCTCTACATTACTTTTGTGTATTTATATGTCTTTGCCTGCCAGTACCAATCTCTACCAAGACTTCCAGTCTTTTGTAAAAAATATCCATTTAACAACATCAGCACTCCAAAAAAGTTCAGCAGTCTATACCAGTTGTAAAGCTTAATTACCTAGGGCACTGAAGAAAAGTTATTACTCTCCCTTCTGTGTAGGCTGGTTTTGTCTCCTTGCTCTTCATGACTTCCCAAGGAAAAGATCACTGTCAACGCTCAGGAGCCTTTCAGGTTTCTGACTTTGCCAGCCGCTGCCCCCACTCAGTGGTTCTTCCACACGACTTGAAGTGAATCCCGCAGGCTGCTCCAAAGCACTTTGGCATTTTCGTCTGCTTAAATCTAACTAAATCTAAATCTAAATCTACCCAACTGTCACCTTTTCTCTTTGCCTGGTAACAGACCAGCTCCAGAGGGTGGGATCAAGGAGTCCAGTTCATGGGGGATTCAGCGCACGCAGGACATATTTTACGAAACCAGGACACCGGCTTTTGAGCGAGGCCACTCAGAAGAAATTCCCATTGAACGGACAAGCAAACAGGTGATGACAGATCAGGATGCAGTAGGTCCCTGTGTTACTCCTAGGGCCCTATTTGTATTAGGGTCTAGGGCTAGGCACTGTTCTGTTGCAACCAGTCAGTCCTATTGGCTGCAGAAGATTTGCCTGGATGTAATTAAGAGCTGAATTCAACCCACTTTTCTCTGCGCTGCTGTATTTGACAGCTGCGTATTGTGGGTGTTTGGCTCATTCAGGCTTATTCCTAATGGAAGCATGGGGGCAGGGAAAGAATGGCTAAGCTTGCTGGCCTGGGAGACAGGACACCTGGGTTTAGCTTTTAGTTCAGCCACAAGCTTCCTTCCTGTGTGACCTTGGGAAATCACTGCTCCCTGTCTGTTAAACAGTGCCCTACCTCCTGTTGGTTTTGTGAGGATAAAATCCATCAATGACTTCAGAGCACTGAGATACTACAGTGATGAGAGCTGCTTAGGCACACAGATAGAAAGATGTTATCTGAGAACAGGAAATATGCAGAAAGGGACCTTCAGATTTGTGTCTTCTTACAAGGCAATGTTGGTATCAGATGTGGTGATGCAGTGTATCATGAATCTTCTCTTTCCAGTGCTGCCAGTCAGAGTCCCCACTCGGGGCTTAAGCTGATAATGTAGAAACTTTCAAGGCCTTAATGTCATTGGCTGTGGGAGCAGCTCTGTCTTCTGGGAGCAGTCATTCAGCTGAAAGCTAGGGAGAAAAAGAAAAGTTTGATGCTATCCTGGCATCCCAGATATACACAGGCCACCCGTCAGATGTACACATGCCTGGACAGTGGTTAAGATAGGGATCTGTGAATGCTCCTCCTGTAATGAGTGTCATTTTCACAGCAAAACTTTTCAAAGGTGGATTGCAGCTGGGGAAATCAGTCAGTACGAGGAAATCAAAAAACAAATGTGTGTTTACAAGATCATGTAGCTTGTGGGATGTCTTTTTGGAGTCTTTTAAGCCTGGGTCCACCTGTTCTAATCTAACTTAAGACAATAGTTACTGTAAGTGAGTGCCACCTGATGGCTCTTCAGTGACATGCCTGAATGAGCTTTTGGGTCTTAGACACACAGTTGCCCATGGATGAAGGATCATATTGTAAAAAGCATGACCACAGTTAGCAATAATAGATCATTGGCCACATGGATTGTCACACTTATTCCAGAATAAGTACATCCTCATGTGGAATTATATAAGAGTAGTTATTTAGAGTCACATATTCCTGAATAGCAACTCAGAAATAACTGCAGCTGTAGACAAGCCCTGAGAAGGGGTCCCCCTGGGTCAGAATTAAGGCTCATAGACAGGGCAGTGTCAGCAGTTTGGCACCCGTGCTAGACATGTTCTGCAGTTCAGAAGTAACCTTTAAGGCTCAAGAGCTGTTGGGCAGTACCTTTTACTAGCTGTATGTCTTCAGAAATAAATTAATACCCCTGCAGTTTGACCTAGGCATGGAACAAGCCCATTAGGTCAGCGGTCTTCTGCTTACAGCTTACATTGACACTACTGAAAATATTTCTTAATCTATTCAGGTTGTAGAAATGAGAGAAATCAGCCCCACCTTGGCCAATGGAGAGCACCAACCTGGCCTGGAGAGCCAGGGACGGGCGGCTTCCATGCCACGTCTGGCTGCCGAAACTCAGGTGAGCGAGAGAGGCTTTACTGGCAATGGAAGACTTACAGTAAGTTAAGAATTCAACACATTCTCTCTTCGTGTTGTCCTTGTCGTGTTGTTTTTATGAAAGCTTCTTGTGAGTATCTTGTTTGAGGGACATTGATAAAGCTGGACCAGTGATCTTTGCCCGGCCTTTGGGTTTGTGTGTACGTACGTGGTCCTGTTCCCTAGCAGCATTTGTCCTGGTATACAGGCAACAAAAAGGAGCGTGAAAAATTCTGTTCTTTGGGCTAAGCACCTTATTGAGCAGGATGTCTACCTCCTTGAATGTGTGAGGTTCAGATTAACAGGGAATCATAGAATCATAGAAAATGAGGATTGGAAGGGACCTCGGGAGGTCATCTAGTCCAACCCCCTGCTCAAACCAGGAACATTCCCAACTAGATCATCCCAGCCAAGGCTTTGTCTATCCAGGTCTTAAAAAACCTCCCAGGATGGAGATTCAAAAACCTCTCTGGTTTACTACGCTCCCAGTGAGAGAGTTTTTCCTAATATCTAACCTAAACTTCCCTTGCTGCAACTTGAAACTGTTGTTCCTTGTTCTGTCATCTGCCACCACCGAGAATAGTCCAGCTCCATCCTCCTTGGGAACCCTGCTTCAGGTAGTTAAAGGCTGTTCCGTCTTCTCTTCTGCAAGCTAAGGAAGCTCAGTTCCCTCAGCCTCTCCTCATAAGTCATGTTCCCCAGTCCCTTTACTATTTTTGTGCCCTCTGGTGGACTCTTCAATGTGTCTGCTGTATAGTTTGCAGAGATGTATTCCATTCCATTCCATTCTGTATATGATGATACCTTTACCCAGGGTATATGGAAGGGTATAGTCCATGGCCTCAAGCACAAAATAAGCTGCATATTTTTCTTTAAGAACCCTGCCTATATGTGAAATCTCTTCCTGCCAAAAGGGCCAAACTTAGACATGGAGCATTTTCCATCTCTCTTCCTCCCCAGTAGGATTTACTGCACATACACATGCTGCATTGAGGGATTGGTTGGTTATATGATGTTTAAATCTTCACTAGCCTTGCTTATTTGGCATTTTCTGGTGCATTATTACAGCACGGTCTTCTCCAATCTGGGCATTTCACATACGCATTGCTAACATGTCCCCCTGATGCTCTCAGGTCACCATGCTGCCTGTTGAATGTTAGAATGTCTCCATCTTACCATACATAGTTGTCTCTTTAGTTCTAAGGGCCTGGTTCATATAATAATGAGTGATTATTGCACAGTTGTGCTGCTCTGGAACATATGCTGAGTTCTGAAATGAGGGACTCCTTCCGTACCGGTAGCCAGCATATACCATGTGGTAAAAAAAAATGTCCTTTCTGCATGCAAAAGACAGGTTGAAACATGGTACCAACTACATATAACTTTGATTTTTGGGACTCTGTGCTACCATAAGAAAGGAAGATTTTTCTACAAGAGATCATGAGAGTCCATTTCCCAGAGTTGTTTGATTTCTCAGGGACTCTACTTGTCACATTTACAACCAATCAACCCACTTAGAAAAAAGCTATTTCCCTGATGGGATGGACATATGTCAGGTTTTACCAAACCTAGAAGCATTCCTGATGGGAATTTTAATACATAGGCCTTAGAAGTATACCTTCTGCCAGGATTTAGCTATGGTATTAATTCTTTCCTTCAATATTAACAATAATGTTATATTTGCACTGCTTGTTTTAGTCTGTAGTACCCCAAGGCATGTTAGAGCTATGTGTATGAACAATGGTTATAAGTGACTTATTAAACAGAAGTTTATTGAAATCTTCCACTATGATTTCAAGAGCAAAATTATAGATTTTAACAATGACTACTGCAAATATATTGCAGCTTGGGCAGAAATTTGGGCTTTTGAATGCTTACTTGGCCCATTATCCCATGCTGGTGTCTGCTGCCCAATTGTCACAGCTTCTGGGATCTGGGCTAGCTAGATTAAAGCTGGTTTTGGTATCCATGCTGCAGTTGCATATCTGAAGAGTTACAGAGAAAGCCTGCATATTAATGAAGCTGGGGAGGCAGCCATAGAAGCTGTTCTTGAAGCGGGGGAGTGAATTTTTTGCTCAGAAGCATTTTGCACATTATCCAGAGCAAAGTATGCACCAGCTCAGCATTAATGCTGTGTGTAACTTATTTATGAATCAGGCCTGCAGTGTCTTAATATATCTAACTCCATCAAATGATGCAATGTTTTGGTAGTTGTAGCTTCACCTGAATAACTGATGTCCTTTTTGTGTGTGTTTCCCCTTCTGTGCCCTCCACCCCACCCTTAATGTGCTACTCTGGTAACCCCAAATTTTAATTTCTTTGTAACTTTTATTAACAATGATTTCTTTTTTTCATTTATTTTCCTTTGTTTGCCTGTTCTTTCTCTTTTTGTGTTCCACTTGTTTTACTTTCTTATACTTTTGATCTTGCCTCCTCCCTCACTCTCCTTTTGCTTCCCTCCTTTTCCCCTGTTGCCCTCCCTCCCTTATCATCATCTCGTCTGCTGCACATCTGCCGTGATGTCTGACAATGGCTGTACTGTGGGCCTGCCACAAATATTGTCTCTCATCTTGTCCGAATTTTTGCAGAGGAGCAAAGCACGTTCACCTGGGAGTTACCTAGCAGTATGTAGTTTGCATTAAGTTGTATCCTATTAAATTCTTATTAAGAAATTATTACCCTGCCTCAACCTTCCTCTCTTATTCCTCACTTAAGTTATGATCTTATGCTTTAAAGATGTAGCTATTGTCTCTATCCACTTCCTTGCAGTTCTTTCCAACTTTCTTGATCCACAGTTGCATGATGCACATTGTAGTACCTTGAGTTATTTTGCATTGCCTTGGTGGCCAAA